TGCTTCCCGTTTCCTGCCTGCACAAACAGTGCCACACTAAAAAATCCTTTTTAGAGTTCCTTATGTTACAGTATTTTACTTCCGCTCTCTACGAATGTGGGATTGCTAGGTTAAGGGTAACCATATTTTAAAAAAAATTTTAGTAGATAGTAACAAATTACTTCCCTAAAATTTGTTAACAATGCATTTTCCTACCAGCAATGGAAAAGCAGAAGTGGAGAGCACCCTTTACCTCACACCCTTGGCAGCAAGGAACATCACCACTGTTGTTGTGATAGTCTTGTGGGGGAAAATGACATTTTATTGTTGTCCTCACATTTTCCTAACTTCTTAGTGAGGTTGGACATTTTATCATATGCTTATTGGTGATTTAAGTTTTTCTTCTTTGACATGCCTATTCAAATTTTCTGTTTATTTTTCTATGAGGTTGCCTTTTTATCACTAATTTTTAGGGGTTGTTTTATAAATTAGGGACACCTGGGTGGCTCAGTCGATTGAGTCTTCGGCTCAGGTCATGATCCCAGTCCTGGGATCGAGTCCCACATCGGGCTCCTTGCTCAGCGGGGAGTCTGCTTCTCCCTCCGCCTGCCACTCCCCCTGCTTGTGCTCTCCCTCTCTCTCTCTGACAAATAAATAAAATCTTTAAAAAAAAAAAAAGGAGTTGTTTTATATATTAAATGCATTAACCCTTAACACATGACATGATTATTCCCCATATCCCCTTGGTGCAGTTTCTGTTGACTTTGGTATATTTGCCCCATATAATTTTTTTAAAAAATTTATGTAATCAAATATGTCTTTCTTTTCCTTTATGACTTGTGATTTCTTGTCAACTCTATGGAGTCCCCAACCTCAGATTATACAGATTATATGCTTCTTAGTTTTCTTTTTCTCTTTTCATTGGCTTTGTTTTTTTAATATTTAAAACGTTAATCTATCTGGAATCTTTTTTCTTTTGTGTTATATACAGAGTCCTTTTGCTTATTTATTTGGTTTCTTCCAAATGGATAACCAATTATGATGGTAGCATTTTTTAATAAGCAAAATTCTTTCTCCACTAAATTGAAATACCATAGTGTCATAGAAAAAGTTCTCATACATACTTGGACTGTTTCTGTCCTCTCTGTTCTTTCCATGACTATAATTTGTTTACTTTTGTTTTAATAACTTGTTTTGAATAAGGCAGGTCTCCCTTTGCTTCTTTTTCAAAATTTTTTTGATTATCCTTGGGTATTTGCTCTGCAAGTTTAAGACTCCCATCGGGCTTAAAATTAGAATTATATTAAAAATAAATATGGTTGAAGAGGGAAAGATATTTCTATATTAATTTTCCTCTTTTAGTAACATGGTATCTCTCTAATTATACCACGTTTTCTCAATAAGATTTTATAGTATTTTACATGTTCTTTTTTTTTCTTTTTTAAGATTTTATTTATTCATTTGAGAGAGAGACAGAGAGAGCACAAGCAAGGGGGAGGGGCAGAGAGAGAGGGAGAAGCAGACTCCCTGCTGAGCAGTGAGCCTGATGCAGGACTCGATCCCAGGACCCCAAAGGCAGACACTTAACCATCTGAGGCACCCAGACGCCCCCGTATTCTACATATTCTACATATAGGTTTTACACCCTCATTGTTCAATTTATTCCTAGGTATTTTATAATTTTATATCCATATTATAAATGAATTCTACTTCTTATTCTAAGTGGTTATTTCCAGTTTAGGCAAAAGTTATTGAATTATGAATGGCTATCTTATATCCAGCCACCTTTCCAAATGCTCTTATTACTCTAGCCATCTCGTGGTACTAGACATACATTACATGATCTGCAAACCAAAAAAAAGTCACAAATTCTCTATTATTTATACGGATTTTTTTCATTATCTTGTAGCTAAAACCTCTAAAATAAAGTTGAATGACAAAGGAAGCAAGCACCAATGTCTTATTAATTTAATAGAAATGTCTTCAATATTTCACAGTTTAAGTTGGTGTTTGCTGTTGGATGTTAGTAAAGGTGTTTGTTATCCAAGCCGTCATCTTAGGTGTGGGAGTATGTGATGCACAACGGGGCCACATCTAAGAAGAGTTTGTTTTCTCTCAGTGTACTGGAATAGTTGAAAGTACCTGTTCCTAGGGGCGCCTGGGTGGCTCAGTCGGTTAGGCGACTGCCTTCGGCTCAGGTCATGATCCTGGAGTCCCGGGATCGAGCCCCGCATCAGGCTCCCTGCTCGGCGGGGAGCCTGCCTCTCCGTCTCCCTCTGCCTGCCTCTCTGCCTACCTGTTCTCTCTCTATCTCTCTGTCAAATAAATAAATAAAATCTTAAAAAAAAAAAAAAAAAAAGAAAGTACCTGTTCCTAGACGGTCAAAGGTATAAAACAGTAAGGACCCAATGCTTTTTTTAGTGATAGATTTCAAACAACCTTACCAATTTCGTCTAATATTATTGGCCAGTTTAGGTTTTCTAATTCCTCTTGGATCAAATCTGGTAGTTTACATTTGGCAAGAAAATAGTCCTTTTTTCTTTCTTTAAGATTTTTAAGCATATTACTGTACATTAAAATTTAATAATCTGTCCTAATTTCAAAATATTATTTGTATCTATGATTATATTTCTTTCTTATTCTGAAGGTTGTATATTTTGTTTTTTCTCAATCAGGTTTGCAATGGTTTATCTATTTTATTTTTTTTTAAAGAACCAGATTTTCATTTCACTTACAATTTCTTCTATTTTTTATTCATAGTTGTGGGAGGCTGAATCATGCTGCCCCCTATACCTGCAAAGATATTCATACCCTAATCCCTGAAAGCTATGAATATGTTATGTTACATGGCAAGACATTTTGTAAATGTAATTAGTTTATGGATCTTATGATTGGGAGATAATCTTGGATTATCTGGACAGCTCTATATAATCACATGACTCAGTAACGGTATTTTATCTAGTTCGTTTTAATTACTGCACTCAGAACCACAGAACCCTCTCACAGGCAAGCTACATAACTTTTGGGTGGTTTCCATTCTGTTCCTCAGAGATACACCCTCCAGCTGAGGATCCTCAAAGGCTAGCTGAGTGATCATGGGGACATCATGGGAACAGCAGAACTAAGTGCTTGTGGGGAGGGCCCCGGACTTGGGCCTGAGTCCCAGCTCTGCCTCTGGCTGTGTAACTTGCACATCCTCAGCACCGGCAAAGGCCATCTCCCATGAAGGACTAGGGGAGATAGGCAGAATGCTTCACACAGCGCTCCCTCTCCTGTGTTCCGCATCCTGAAGTGGTGCAGAGGAAGTGAGACAAAGTGAGGGGAACGGACGGCTGAAAGCAGAACACGGAGTGGAGAAAAGTTCTGAAGAGACGCCAGGAAGCCAAGGGGGTCCCCAAAGCAACAGGCAGCATCTCAGTGGCCTCTGCTCTTGCCATCCTACTCTCTGGGAGGACCCACTAGCTGCTGGGGGAGAAAAAAGCTGCCTCCCGAAGAGAACACTGAGGGAAAATCAGCCTTGAGGACAGGAGGTCTGAGCTAGGCTCAGCTATCCAATTTGAGGTATTTTTCTTGTTCCTTCTTATCAGTAAGATCATGTTTGATCCAGGGTTTTCTCTGTGCTCCCATCCTGTCTGGCCCCTTTCCATTCTCTAATCCCTACCTCCAGTCATGGTAATGCAAACTTAAATAATCAATAGTGTCCATACATACATTAACTTTTATTTAATTAAAATCCAAGAAGGCTTAAGGCTTTAAAAGCCTTTCTTTAAAAAGAGAAATGACAGATACCTGGTAAGAGGTCTTTTTCTAAGAGGTCATACATTCATATATTTTAAGATATGCCTTGTTGGGGGTGGTGCCTGGGTGGCGCAGTCAGCTGAGAGTCAGACTCTTGGTTTCGACTCAGGTTATGATCTCAGGGTCGTGAGATCGAGCCCCATGTTGAGCTCTGTGCTCAACATGGAGTCTGCTTGAGAATCTCTCTCCCTTTTCTTCTGCCCTCCCCCCCATGCTCGCATGCTCTCTCTCTCTCAAATAAATACATAAATCTTAAAAAAAAAAAAAAAAAGATGCGCCTTGGGGTTTTATGGATTCACTCCAGTTTCTTCTCCTATGTTCACAGAAAACTAAAGTTTACATTGATATCCCAATCAGGTAGCTGGATATATACTGTACTAAGCAAGGGAAAGGAATTGACATAGTTGACAAAGATTTTTCAACAAAGTGGTTAACACCAAAAAGACTTTTAAAATTAACCTTTTACTTCAGTGACCTAGAACAGCCAAATCCCTATCACACTCCATTAGCTTATGTTTAAATACAGTGCTCCCAAAAGTATGTGTTTTTACTAAATGAGGGAAGGGGAAAACTAAATTAACCACTGAGCCTTCAAAATCTAACAAAGAAGTAAAATTCATGTTTTCATTCATAAAGTTAGAAAATAGAAGTGATAGAGAATATGGGGAAAAAATCTGTAGCTCTTGCCTATGCTTATTTATTTAGCACATGGAACTGCACATGGCAGTTTCCCTACACAGATCTGTCCATATCTAAAATCTCACACTCAAGCTGAAAGACTGTGAATTCTGCAGTTCTGGTGGTCCCTCAGGGGGGCATACCTACAATGGAAACAAAATGGAGCAGAGCCAAGTGGGGGAATGAGAAGACGGTTTCCAAGAAATATGAATGTATAGAAAACATCTACGGTATCTGAACTGTTGTACTTTTTATAATGTGTTTATAAATACACCGAGACACTGACCTGTAAGATGTAGAGTACGACAACCGTCAGCCCGACCCAGCTGTGTAGACTGTACATGTTGGGGATACTCAAGGCATTGTGGAAATCAAAAACGGACACCAGAGCGATAATTACGAGAATGGCAGCAACGGTGTGTAACCCTGCATGGATGGACTTCATCAGGAGCTTGCTGCATTTCCAGGTCCATGGCAGTCTGTATACGATGATGGCTAGAAAGAGACGAAAGGGGACAGAATGTGGTGTTATTTTTAATCAAAACAAGTTGAACACTTTGACACACCGAACACTCCCTTCCATGAAACCCTTTTCACTTGGCTTCTGGTTCTCCCCTCTTCCCTGGCTCTCACGAGTTCATTCTTGGGCTCCTTTGCCAGCATCTTCATTACTCCCAACTTATGAACAAACCCTGGTAGCTCTCAGGCTCAGTTCTAAGACTTTTTCTCTGTGGGTGACCTCATTCACTCTTTCACTGAGATGCCACCCACATGGCAGGGACTCCAAAATTCATATCTCCAGCCCAGAACTTTCTTCTGAACTCCAGACCCACATAATTCAACAACTTCTTGACATCGCTATATAGATGCCTCCGTATATCTCAAGCTCAGCAAATCCAAAACTAAATTATTAATCTTATGACCTGTTTTTTGTGTGTGTCTTAGTTTGATAAGAAAAGACAGATTAAGGAATAGAAAAATATGCACCAAGTTTTAAATAGACAAAAGAATATATCCCAGTATTTTACCAAAAAGTATATCCAAAAATAGAGAGAGAAACATAAGCAAAATATCAACTTCATTAGCCAACAGAGAAATGCAAATTAAAATCAAATGAGAATATGTCTACCATATATCTGAATGGCTAAACATGAAAAATGCCAAGTATTGGAGAGGATGTAAAGCAATCAGAGCTCTCACGTTCTACAATAGGAGATTAAATGAGAACAAACACTCTGGAAAACCAGCAGCATTTATTCAAGCTAAACTTACGTGTAACTTATGATCCAACAATTCTACTCCTGGGTATATGCTCCAAAGGAATATGTACATATGTTCACCAAAAGACATGCACTAGAATATTATTAGCAGCACCATTTGTAGTGGCCAAAAACTAGAAACTCCCCAAATGCCCATCATTAATAGAATGAATAAATAAATTGTGATATATTCACACCATAGAATAATATACAACAAAGAGAATGAATAATCTATAACTAGAACTTCACCCAACAATATGGATCAACCTATAATGTCAATGCCAAGAAACGAGACATAAACAAGTATATGCTGTATGGATTCAATTTATACGAAGTATAAAAGCAAGCAAAACTCATCTCTGCAATAAGAAAAGTCAGGATAGTTGTTACCCTTGTGAGGAAAGAGTATAGTAACTGGAAAGGAACATAAAGGGATTTCTAGCTTCCTGCTAATATTCTGTTTCTCAGTCTGGGTGCTGGTTACATAAATATCCACTGAGGAAAGATTCATCAAGCTATACATTATATGTACACTTTTTTGCATGTAGATTAAACTTCAACAAAAACATTTTTGAAAGCATTTTTTTTTAAATTGTCCTGGTTTAAGCAACAGATTATATGGTCACCTTAACCAGCATGCAATTAATTTTTGTTCTGAAGACAATATCCTGCCGCTACCCACCCTCATTCCCACCCCTCTGGTCCATGTCAGGGAAAATTTAGAGATCTGAAAATGTATGGCAGGTTGAAAAAGTTTGAAGAATATTTCCTTGGAAGATGGATTCCATTATACCAGCAGTGTATCCTGTATATTGCTTAGTTCCAGTAAGAAAAAAAAGAGCACATTCCCACTAAAGACATTTACAATTTAAAAATATAGAACTTCATAGGATCACAAAAATGTATGAGATTATCTAATCTAGTCTCAGAAACACATATAAACCTACAAAGACAGATGTGAATTCAGCCTTTTTAAAGCTTTCAGCACAAGATGCCAATTTTCCTGTCCTTTGGCTCCATTTCACAACACCTGACAGCCCTCACCATTAAGACACATTCTTTTCATCTAATCCAAAGTCTGAAGGATTGCTACTTACTAATTTTAGTGCATATATGGATATCTTATAAATGTTGACTGGTTATATTTCCTTGAGGACACAGAGACTTTTTGGATAATCATTTCTAGATTCAGTGAATCTTTTCAAGCCACTTAGTGCAACCAGGTAGACCAGTTGATCCTTAAACAAGGTTATACCACTTGACCATTGAGCAAAGTTAGGGGTAATGACCTACACACAGTTGAAAATCTGCATATAACTTTTGACTCCTCCAAAATTTAATTACTAATAGCCTACTGTTGACTGGAAACCTTACCCATAACATAAACAGTTGATTAACACATATTTTGTATGTTATATGTATAATATACTGTATTCTTAGAATGAAATAAGCTAGAGAAAAGAAAATGTTGAGAAAATCATAAGGAAAAACATTTACAGTAGAGTGTGTTTATCAAAAAAAAAATCCACCTGTATGTGGACCTGTACTATGGTTCAAACCCATGCTGTTCCAGAGTCAACTGGAACTTTTTTTTAAGACTGTATTTATTTATTTGAGAGAGAGAGAGAGAGAGCATGAGTGGGGGGAGGGGCGGAGGGAGAGGGAGAAGCAGACTCCCCATTGAGCAGGGAGCCCAAAACTTGGTACTCGATCCCAGGACTCTGAGATCATGCCCTGAGCCGAAGGCAGATGCTTAACCGACTGAGCCACCCAGGTAGGTGCCCCTGTACTTTTTTTTTTTTACTTTATTAAAATACTGAGTTTATTTCACATGTATATTTTTGTCTCCCCACCATTTCCATTTGTCTGACCACCACTACTACTATGTCCTATCATAACATTCCATACATACTTAAAACCAAGCAAAGGGTGGAGTTCCATCTTTAAAAACTAAACAGGCATTTTGACAACACATTCTTGGCAATGGAACCTGGACAACATTTATCAGACACGGTAGGGAAAGTTCTCAGTCTGCATTATAAAAAGGACAGCCAGATATCAACTGTTACAGAAATGAAATAAGACGGAAAATTTTAACAAACTGTTTAAACTATTTTCTTAAAGAGACTTCCTCCACTGCCAGAGATCTTGAATAGCCTCTTGGTCAGTCACCCGGAAGCAATTCTTCACATAATTGATGAACTTGGCTTCCACTTTGGGAAGAGAACCACCTTTTTCTATACTTGCTTGCATTTTTGCTTTAATGTCTTCTACAGAACTAGGTCCTTTCAGTGTTTTGGGCGTCTTTTCCTGTTTTTTGAAAGATTCTTGACCCTTTGTTCTTGGTATTGATGGTTTTGAGTCTTTTCCATTCTGGTTTGATTTTTGTGCATTTTTGGCTGGAGTATCTCGTATAGATTTCTTTACTGGAGCCTTTTCTTCAGCTTCCTCATCATCAAAATCATCATCATCATCATCTTCGTCATCATCGTCATCATCGTCATCTTCATCATCATCTTCAGCAGCAGCAAGTTTTACTTTTTTCTGTGGAAACTTGTTACCACTTCCAGGGGCAGAACGCTTTCCAGATATACTAAGGAGTTTCACGTCCTCTTCCTCTTCATCTTCTGACTCTGCATCTTCCTCCACAGCTACTAAGTGCTGTCCACTAATATGCACAGGCCCTGAACCACATTTCAACCGTAAGACCACAGGTGGTGTTATTTCAAAGCCCCCAAGAGAAACTGTTGGCTGTACAGACATTTTCAAAGTTGCCAGTGTGACTTTAATTGGACTGCCTTCATAATTCATTGCCTCTGCTTCAACAATGTGCAATTCATCCTTTGCATCAGCTCCTAAACTGACCGTTCTTAAAGATAACTGGTGCTCATTTTCATCATTAACCACCTTAAAGTGATAATCCTTGTCAGCCTTTAGTTCACAACCGAAAAGATAGTTCTGGGGCCTCAGAAGGCTCATGTCCATGTCCATCGAATCTTCCATGGGGTGCTGGCACGCACTTAGGTGGAAGAGAAGGCGGACGAAGATAAACGACTACTGTTCCACACAACAGTCGCGCAGGACGGAATCACACCAGAGCACCCCTGTACTTTTAAAAGCTAGTTCAAAGTCCGTTCTCATCCCTACTTTATCCTCTCTGAGGGCAGGAATGTGTTTTTCTGTTTTTCCTTGTACCTGAGCCTAGGACAGCCCTGGGCTCAAAGTATGTAGATCCATAAGCATGTTTTTTTTTTTTAACTCTTATTTTGAGATAATTGTACATTTACATGCAATTCTAAGAAATAATACAGAGAGCCCATATACTCTTCACATAGCTGGTAATATTTGGTGTTACCAATGGTAACATCTTACATATAACCATAGTACAATATCACAACCACGAAATTGACTTCAATATAATCCACTGACCTAAATCAGATTTCATTAGTTTTATTTGTGTATGTGACCCATAAGTATTTTTAAGATGAATATAAAACACTTTCTGCACGCTGATCAAAGTCTAGGGAAAAAAATGAAGTCAACTCAAACACATGGTTTCCCCTCCTTATGCTTTTTCTCCTCTGATTCAGTGGCACACCATATATGATTTCCAGTTATCAAGAAAAGCAAATGCCTCTTTATCCAATGACTTTGTGACCTTTCATCCACACAGTAGAGCCTTTTGCAATCTGTGTGATCAGGCAGTAGTAAAATAAAAATGTGGAAAATGTGAAAATCTAATAATACATCTCACCATCTTCTGGGTTAACCTCATTTATTACACACACACACACACACACACACACACAGCTGAGCCCTTGCTAGATAGGAGGCATCCTGCTAAGTGCTCCACATGTTTACATTTACATTATAACTCTTAACCTCAACTCTGTGAGGAAGGTACAGTTACTATTACCATGACCATTATATAGAGGAGGAAGCTAAGGAACAGAGAGGCTAAGTAGCTTGCTTAATCTTAGTGTTTTAAAATTAATATTATTGTCATCATCATCATCATCATCATCCTATCACCGAGGCACTGCCCTCATCTTAGATGAGGGAACTTGAACATCTACATATAAAAAGGGAATACTTGGAATATGTTTGCTTGAAAAGCAAATTATGAACAATAAATCACAACAGCGTTTTCTCCCCAATCTGGATCCTGTTATATTAAATTTTTCCAAAGTCAAAACTAACCTCTGATATTAGAAGTCAGGAGTAATTGTCATGACTGAGAGAAGTTACAATGGTTACCAGGAAAATCCTCGGATGCCTGGGATGTTGTTTCATGATCGGGTACGTGAGTGTGTTCATGTTATGAAAACACGTAACTTATGATTTAGGTATTTTTCTGCATGTATGTGGTTCTTCAATAAAATATTTACCTAAAAAAATGTTCAGCGAAGAATTTTTACTCTTCTAAATAATACAGGCATCACAGAGGAACATGATAAAACTAAAATCTTTCCCCTTTAAGTGTTAAAACTGGATTTTTAAACCTTTCACATTTACTCAAATGATTTTAGATTGGTTGCACACTAGCTTTCCTTCTCCAGCAGGAGTAGCATGAATGGAACACAAGTCAATCTTTTACTGTGGATTTGGGATTACCAATAAAACATATTGTCCTATTACCAGAGGAGAAAGCCCTTAGGGGCCTCAGGCAGGAGAGGGGCTTGCTTCTGATTCACATGAGCCCAGGCAATTAAGGTTTTTCAGTCCCTGGGTCTAGTGTAGAGTTCTTCAATCTCCTTTTTTAGTTTCTTCCTCAGGTTAGGTTGCTTACCTTCCCTCCATCATCCTGTATTATCTTTTATTCCTACCAGATTTAAGTTCTAGTTTATAAATCTTTATGTTGGCAAAAATCGGAACATCTGTTAAATCAGGGTGATGAACACATGGGGATCTGTTATGTTACTTTCTGTATGATTGAAAGGGTTCCTAATTGTTTTAAAGTTAAACCAACATCTTTGTAAACTCAGAAACCTAATATCGAATTAATCTCTACTAAGTAGGCAGCCTGTGGAAATTGGAGAGGCTCTCATGTGAGTGAGGCCTATCCTGGCTATATAGAAGTTCTGCTACATAGTTGACTATCATCAGAATGCTCTCTAGGTAAATGAAGGATAACTGCAAAATGCTGCATTTGCATAAGGTGTTTACATGTTTTTAAAAATATATAAGTAACCAAACTATGGTGTACTTCAGGAGAAAAGGGCAATCTTAACAAATCAAACCACATTTCTTAAACAAGAAGCTACTCTCAACAGCTATAAAAACTGCCTGGAGAGCGGAATTTAAATATTTCTTGCTTCTTTGGCTTGGCATTTACCTAGACACCATTCCTGAGGTTCAGCGAGAAGGAAGAAAAAGGTCTCATGAGCCCATGAGGAGGGGAAATGGCATCAAACAGCTACTTGTAACTGAAACAAGGCTTTTCTGTTAGAGGCCCTAGTTGGCAAGACCATTTTCCCCCAGAAAATGGAGGAAAACATGAACACATATATCGAGAAATACATGTTAAATCTTTATAAAAGAAAAAATATTGGTAGTGGAATATGCTGTTGTGATAAACTTAAAAAGAAAGCAAGGAAGAAAAAATAGAAAGAAAGAAAGAAAAGAAAGAAAAAGAAAGAAAGAAAGAAAGAAAGAAAAGGAAAGGAAAAAGGAAATCAACACCTGTGTTTAATTATTTTTTGGACAAATGAAAGTGAAAATACAGTAACTTGAATTTATTTATTAGAAAATTTCTCAGCTCCCCACTGCCTAATCAATTCAGGAATATGTGAAAATATGTACTCTCTAAGATGTAATCTCTAGTTTGACACCAGCTTTCGATCCATATACCATTACAGAACTATCTATATGCAGGTTTGTCTATATGCAGGCAATGCAAATTTAGAATCTGTCAAAGGGTATGTGGAGAGAGGGGCACTTGGAAGGAGAAATGTCCCCAAACATAGAAAACAATTTGACTCTAGTCCTTCTGTGTTTAAATCTTATGACTCATGAAGGTAGGAGCATGTCTATTTTGTTCCTTGCCATATCTCAGCATTTAGCACATAGCCTGGCACACAAGAGGAACTCATTAAGTGTATGTTGAATAAATAAATTTAATAAAGTACAGTAATTTATTCAGTATTCCCCAGCAAATGAGCAGACCCCAGCAAATGAGCAGATCCTCTTTTAAAATGCACGAATCAAAAACTCAAGACGATCTGTACTGCTGATCCAAGTGTTAGCTCATGTAAGACCGAATGGTCCTTTCAAGTAAGGAACAAGGTACTCTACACTTGTGCCCACTAAACAGCTTTACATAAGCTTTAAGTGAACCCCCCAAAACAGTAAGTTATTGTTTGAAGTACACTGTAATTTTAAGACACAAATTCTACTTAAATATGGGGTACCCATTACACTTTTCTTAACTCTTTGAATAAAGTATTATTTTGACATCCTCAGTATACGTTCTGAGCAATATTATCAACTCATTTCTCCGTGCACCCAAAAACGTACCAGACTGTATCCAAAGACCTCAAGTTTATTTTTATTTTTTTTAAAGATTATTTGACAGAGAGAGAGAGCACAAGCAAGGGAAGTGGCAGAGGGAGAGGGAGAAGCAGACTCCCCGCTGAGCAGGGAGCCCGATGCGGGACTCGATCCCAAGACACTGAGATCATGACCCACGCCGAAAGCAGACGCTTAAGGACTGAGCCACCCAGGCGCCCAAAGACCTCAAGTTTAAACGTAAAAGCAGAGAACCCTTTTAAAATAATCTTGGAAAGATTCCTGCAGTGGCTCTCAAAGAGACTGAACTCTGAAGCACCGCAGCCTGAGAGTTCAGGCCGCCCGCACTGCGCTCGCGGAGCACCCGGGGCTGCATGGCCGGGGACGCCGTGAACCTGGCACGCGGAGAACCGGGCAGCAGCGACGCGGGCGGGCTTCCCCCCTGGCACCGCCCGCTGCGAGCCCCCTGCGCGCCCGCCTCCCGGTAGGCCAACAGGAAAGTCGGGCTTGGCAGCGACCAGCCAACCTGGTCCTCTGCTCCCCTTCATCCAGCACAGTCAGAATTTGTGGTTCTACCACAAGTGACCATCAGATTTGTATCTTCAATCTGACCCCCACTCTCTGCCATGGGCGAGGGTCCCCGGTGTGTCCCAGTCCAATAAAATCTACCTGCCACTGGGAAAAAAAAAAAAAGAAGAAGAATCTTAAGTTTTGAAACATGCCTGTGTATTCAAACTGTCTCACCACATGAATATCATGTAACTGAAAACCTTTAGAGAATCAAAATGCAGGAAGGGATTTGGATGATTTGGAAGATTTGTTTTAGTGTCCTGGCACTTAAGCATCTCTTTGAAGTGACTGAAATTACCACAAAGGCAGCTAGATGGTACCAAATAGTGTGTGAAGAGAGAAAAATTCGATTAATTGCTAGACATGTATAAATATCCAGAAATCCTGCATTGTTAGAAACATCAGCTATATTTTCTTATGCCTCGTATCAATATTGTAACAGATTACAAATATTATAACTGGTTCTGACATCACCTCTTTGTCTGACCCTGGTCAGGCATTTGATCTCTAAAATTAGGCACTGAACTTCAAATCCTAGCCAGCTTTAAATACTTAGGGCTCAGGTTTTCTAAAAGAAAACCATAACTCAGCTGTAACAAACTCAAATGGGAACAACTTATAGGCAAGGCTACATTTTACTCATTTGTTTTACACAGTGTCTGACATACAGTAAGTGCTTAATAAATGTATGCTAATTAAATAGGATGATATATGAAAACTGAATGAATGAATGAACCTAGAAAAGTACAGCCCAAGTCTGTGCAGTTATTTCAAAGCCTATTTTGGCCTTTTAAGAAAGTTTCTACAGGAAGAAAAGTAGTTCTAACAAAGATTTCTGGTCTAATTTCTTAAAAGAGAAGATTGTTCTACTTTTTAAGGGAAAAATTTTAAATTCCACAAAGTCAAGATAGAAAGCTCTAGCAGAAGTCACTTGTAAACTGGAAGGTATGGACTGGATTTGGTCCATAGATGTGTTTTGTTTGATCAGCACCATGTTCGGGGGTTTTGTTCTGGTTCTGTGGCTGGTTTTAGATTGAACCAGTTTTTTAAAAATCTGGATTCTCTGGGATAATGGGAAGCCCTAGCCACTTTGGGCTGGCATCCCCATACAGCCACAATTCGCTGCAGCTAAGAGGTTTCCTATTTTGTCCAAAGTAGGCCCTCTCC